AATGTTTAACATAAGCACAACTTGCGTGCACTCCTTTTTTCTCACTGATATATTCTTTGCACCATACAGAATGAGATGTACACAATTATTAACTTTACAAAATGGCATGCGCTGGTCTAGTTTAATCCTTTCTTCTTTCCATTAACGTTTAAAAATCCTTTATATTTTGTCTCTCCTCTCCCTCACTTATTTCTCCTTTTCGCTCTTCTTTCTTTGCGTTCTCTCTCCGTTCTATCTTAGCCTCTTTCTCTCCCTTACCCCCAACTACATCTCCTTGATTTGTTACCTGTCCACCTCTTCCGTTTCTCCAAAATCCTCTTAAAGTGGCCTGTAGTAATATATAGCCAACGTCATTATAAGGTGATTTTAGCAACATAATATTGAGGGAGATCCTTGGGCGGTTTCGTTTGCGTTCGCGTAAGTGAATCCGGATTGGAGTTACGTCGCATTTACTACAAATTCAATTAATGTCATAACTATGTTAACAAAACTAGAGCACAAATGAAGAAAATGACAGAGGAGAAATAAATTGAAACGAAGAAAATTAAAGAGAGTAAAAAACAGCAAATATAGCTTAACACCTTAAAAGAAGTGAAATAAAGGAAATAAATGACGCAAAATAGATTATTTTTAGCTAGTATAACACCTTGGAATGCGTCCTTGATTTCTCAAAATATAGAAAGAGTATTTTCTGTGATGTATATGTGTGTGTTTATATATATGCGCACACACACACACACACATACACACGCTTTTCAACTGCATTACAGGAAGAGTGAAGATAGATAAGGATGACTTTTTGATCTTGAACACAAGAAGAACGAAAGGACAACAAAAAGTTGAACAGTCTCCCCAATCAAGTAGTGTGTGCCAAAACTGTGCATCAATTTAAAAAGTTATACGATTATTTAAATATAGCAGACGGGACCACCTGAGCATAGCTCTTCTCCCGTATCCAAACAACTAGGTAAGAAACAACTAGTAAGAACACACACACACACACACACACACACACACACACACACACACACACACACACACACACACCACACAAACACACACACGCACGCACACGCACACGCACACGCACACGCACACGCGCGCGCACACACACACACATACATCTGTATGTAATATAGATACATATAAATGTATGTATGTATGTATGTATGGATGTATGGATGTATATATGTATATATGTATATATATATTATATATATGTATATATATATGTTATATCTATATATAATGTGCGTGCGCGTGCGTGCGTGCGTGCGTGCGTGCGTGCGTGCCGTGTGTGTGTGTGTGTGTGTGTGTGTGTGTGTGTGTGTGTGTGTGTGTGTGTGTGTGTGTGTGTGTGTGTGTGTGTGTGTGTGTGTGTGTGTGTGTGTTGTGTGTGTGCGTGCGTGCGTGCGTGCGTGCGTGCGTGCGTGTGTGTGTGGTGTGTGTGTGTGTGCATATATATAGAGTTACGTATAATCAGCTGTTAGTAAGCCACAAGTCTTTGCGTTTCTTTGAAGAGGTGCATCCACATCCGAACAGGTGAGCGAGAAATTAGATGTTTGCTTGTTTCAACTCATGCAACGGCTAGTTAAGTGGTTTCAAAGAGGGTGAATAGCAACATTCCAAGAACCGACCCCAATAAATGTATTTCATATGAAATGGGAATTTCTCGCTTTCAACTGTTAATTGTCATCTATCCAGTTTTCTTTCTATTTGTCTGTGCAATGTAACAGTATATACGTAGGAGTAGATGAAATTATCAAATCAAACCTTTACATCAAAATCACTTTTTTATACAGCATCCTAAAATTAATTTTACGGTTTATGAAAAACTTATTTGTTCGCCCGGAACTTGAGTAGTTTACAGAAAGAGGAGCTATCTAGAAAATGACTTACTCAGATTCGCATAATTCACATTTTTTGATGCAAGTGAATATTCAGCAATTCTAGAATATCTATTTCATGGTTAATCTTAATATATGCTCAATAAATGTGTCGGATAGGCCAAGACGTAATAATAACAAAGGAAATCCGAGGTGAAACTGAGCCTACCAGCCACACACATTTTTCAGGATAGACGCAACGCAAGCTGAAATCGGAAATAGAAGCTGCTATAATGGGGTGAGGGAAAGGAACTTCTCCAACGGTGATATATTCGGAGAGCTGGGCGCCTCACGGACGATGGCATACAGGCAGATAGGGTGGGAAGAGGAGGCCACCCATAACGACAAAAATACACCGGAAATACACGAAAAACTCATTTGGTGGATGAGATCAATGATGTTTTTAACCCTTTTCAGTATTTCACAATTTTATTTATTTCAAATTGCGATATAAATATTTGTTTATACATAATAGTGCCCTATACGTCATATTGCATGACCGGAATCTATATCATTATCTACTTTTCACATACGAACAGAAGAATTATTTATGAAACGGCGAGGAGTGGCCACGTGACCTGCGATATGTGGGGGTGGGTCTACCTGCATGACGGCGAAACAAGGGGAAATGCATCCTAAACAAGTATATCGAACTATTAAAAAAAATTACTCCCAACAACACGCTGTTATGCCTTGGCCCTTCCATGAAACAATCATATTTGTGCAGGATAACTGCCCTCTACACAAGTCTAGGGCAGTTACGAAGTTATTCCATGACTAGAACCACCTGGAGGTCTTTCGATGGACAAGCAAGGGATGCGACTCAAACCCGACGAAAAATGTCTGGGCGAATATTGTCAATGTTTGAGAAACGGCTAATGAAACAACCTCACAGCAGCTAATAGACCGTGCTAAGAGGGGAAGGGAAGAGTTAGGGAAATCGAGACGTCTCATAAACACGTCACCTTTGACTCGGGGATTAGACACGGCTTCAATAACACATTTTCTTATCTTAAATATGACCAGCTCCAATATTTGTATTTACTACAGTTATTTACAAGTTAAACCATAGTAAAAATATTTCCAAGATTAATAAGCATCTCCAATTAGTCGAATTACTGGTCTCCATCCTGTGTGTGCATGTTATGGCATTTTGCGCGAGGAGGGGTTCAAAGTCTGTATCACAAAACTAAAGATTCTAATTAAAGTGTTAAAAAACTGTATAATTGCATTTCTTTCACATACACCACTTACATTGTTAATGCCTCATTCAACCGGCAACAATTTTGCGTTCATTTAATATTCTAAAATGATTATAAAGTATCATATTTTCCGTTTATTGAATCCGTTGGATCTAGTCTATTAGTCCACATTTATGTAAAGAATATAAATAAGAACTTTGATTTTGTGATAAAGGACAATTTGATTTTTCACACTAAACAAACGAGTATTGACAAAGGAAAATAAAAGGATGTAGGCCTATCATTTACAAATAAAGCGAGAGTAAGTTCAACCGATTTATCAGAACGAAAAAGTGTTATCGTTATCAAAGTATTATATATAAAGCACACGTATTGAGAGACGGTTCTTAGACATTTGCCATTCATGGAATAGCTTAGTAGTTGATGAAGTTGAAACAAGCGAACGTATTTTCTCGCTCAACTATGAGTGTGGATCCTTCTAGAATCGCAAAGACTTTAGGAATAACATCAAAAACCGTATCAGATTTTAGCAAAAGATAAGGGACAATCTATGAAAAATAGAATGTAGCGTTCTTTAGTTTGTTCATTAAGTGGTTCTGGCAGAAAGGGAAAATATATATCAATAAATCTTTTATAGTGCAGCTAAGACAAGTATTTACAAAGTTCTGCACATTTGTTTGCTTTTGCTGATATGTTTAAGACATAAAGGTTTCGGATTTCACGAAATGTGAAGCTAAAATCTTTAATACTTCTTGTGTTGGAAGAATGGGGAAGTGCCGCCTCCACTCCATAGGTAAAGTGAAAATGATGGTTTCCAAAGACCATTAAAATGTGCCATTTTCTCCCCCTCACCTTAGACAAATGCTTCAGTTGTTGGGGTAATGATTTTTGCTCTGGGGGTTTGTTTTCCATTTTTTCACCCTCCCCATTCATTTTTTTTTTTTCCCCTCGTCAATTCTAATTTCACTGCTGGTAGATTTCCACTGTTCCATAGCATTCACACATGAATCTCCTTGCCTCATCGATCACTGCATTCATATTTACCTTAATGTTGCACAACAGATAATTTAGTGCTATTTTTAAGTACCTTTGTCTTCCACAACCTGACGGTGCAAGAACTTTTGGAAGGTCCATATGACTTTCCAGAAACAAGATCATGAGTTTAAGTGTAAATGGAAACATTAACGACGTTTGTGTCAATCAAGGATTTTGATCCAGCCCTTTTTGTAGATAGAGATCGTGGTGCAGCCTGCTAAAAATTTGATGGTGATGAGTGGGAGGTTTTCCTGCTGTAATTAGGGCATGTAAAAGTTGGTCTTACTTTGTGTGTGTGTGTGTGTGTGTGTGTCAATGATATATGTATACACTTCCGATTTCTCATTTAGACACTTCTCGTTTCAGGGTAGTTTCAAGCAAGTAAATTTATAGTTTGGATTTTCTTTTCCTGTAGCAATATATATTCCGAGTGGTAGAAATAAAAGTCACTATAGCTCAAAAGGTTTATTGTACAAACAAGTATATACAAACCTCTGAAAAAATATATCCTGTAATGGTTTCACACAAGTCCAGATCGGTTTCTTGAATCTTTCTTGGCGTAGTCCAAGATCTCTTTCAAGATATTTTTTTTTTCAAAAATGAAAAAAAAAGACAAAGGACAAACATGCATCAGAGAAACAAAATATCACAAGTTATTAAACAATTCAAAACAATAGGATTTTCCACTCCAGGAGGAGGCAACTTACGCGTATGGTGGGTACAGTGGGAGTGAGGAGGTCGACATGGTTTCGACTGCCTGTACGATCGTTTCTTGAATCTTTCTTGGCGTAGTCCAAGATCTAAGCAAAAATGAAAAAAAAGACAAAGGACAAACATGCATCAGAAAGTTATGGATTGGAGGAGGCAACTTACGCGCAGGGGGAGTGAGTGGTGTGAGGTCGCCTTCGACATGCCCTCGGGCACCTTACCCGCCGAAAACCTCTGGCCACGCATGCTCGTTTGCGCAATGCGAAACTGCGGTTACGGTAGTTTTCGTTATTGGGCCAATTCTTGTTAATTTTGGAATATATATGTATATATATATATATATATATATATATATAATATATATACACATATATATATACATATATATATATTATATATATATATATATATACAATATATATACATACATATATATTATATATATATATATATTATATATATATATAGAGAGAGAGAGAGAGAGAGAGAGAGAGAGAGAGAGAGAACGCACACACACACACACACACACACACACACACACACACACACACATATGTATATGGGTAAATGATC